CGGCTGCTTGAAGAAACAAGTGAGGAGCCGTCCCAGCTCGCCCCGGATCTGCCGGTTGAGGCACCCGTAGAAGAAAGGGTTGGAGGTAAAGCAGAAGTAACCGAGCCAAGTGACCACGGTCTCGGCCGCCGGCCCCACCAAGGGCTGGGCGCTCAGGGCGGTGTAGAGGTGGAAGGAGAAGTAGGGCAACCAGCAGAAGAGGAATTGGCCCCCCACGGCCAGCAGGATGGCGGCCGCCTTGCCCCCCCCGAACGTCCTCTGCGGGGTGGTACGAGGGGCTCCCGAGGTGGTGACCATGGTGGAGCGGCTGCGGGGCGGCTCGGGGAGGGGCCGCGGGTCCATCCAGGTGGGGAGGGGGCCGTGGTGCATGGCGGCCACCCGCGCCACCTTGAACATGCTGCAGTAGACCACCACGATGATGAGGAGGGGCAGGAGGAAGTAGAAGGCGGCGAAGAAGACCACGAAGAACTTGCAGTAGGGACCGCGGCTCCATTGCAAGGAGCAGCCGCGGCCGGCAGGCGCCGGCGGGCGGTCGGGGGACAACCAGCCCAGCACGGGGACGAGGGAGGTGGCCACGGCTTTGAGCCAGACGCCGACGAGGACGCAGGCCACCAGCCCCACCGTCATCCTCACCTCGTAGCGCATGGGGTGCACCACGTAGTAGTAACGCTCCACGTTGATGGTGGAGATGGAGAGGATGCACATGCTGATGAAGCAGACGCTGAGGAACAGGTAAACGCGGCACATGGCCTCGCCGAAAACCGGGCTGTCGAAGACGGCCGAGCCAGAGAGCATCTCCAGCGGCATCAGGGTGAGGGCGGCCAAGAAGTCCACCAGGCAGAGGTGGAAGACGAAGACGAACTTGCGCAACGCCGGCGTCTTCACGATGACGGTCATGACGGCGGCGTTGCCCACGATGGCCGTCAGGTCGATGAGCAGCATGAAGAAGAGCCCCACCGATTTAGAGGCCACGTCTTTGGGTTTGCCGTCGGCCGTGCCGTTGGGGGGCATGGGGCCCGGGGAGGGCTGGAGCCCCCGCGCCGCCCTAGAACTTGCGCGCGTCTTCACGATGACGGTCATGACGGCGGCGTTGCCCACGATGGCCGTCGGCCGTCGTTGGGGGGCATGGGGCCCGGGGAGGGCTGGAGCCCCCGCGCCGCCCTAGAGCTGTTCCAGGCCCACGGGGCGGGCAGGGAGGGCTCCATCCTGTGCCGCC